AACGAGTAGGAAAAATTCCTAACGTTATAGATTTATTACAGATATAGTTTAAAGGAGAACTTATAAAGGGGGTACTAACTTTTAGCATTTTTGTGGTGATTCCATCATATCCATGAGAATTCTTTGTTCTAATAGAGTTGATAATTCTTTCTATCTCTATAGTTGTTGTATTTTTAAATTTGATATCAGGAAAAGGAATTTCTGACATCCTAGATAGATAATGGCTTATATTTTTGGTGCCCATTGAGCTTCCTGTATCTCTGTTTTTAATTTTCTGTGCAATATGTTCAGCTATAGTTAGAAAATAATCATTGAAGGCATCAGGGGAGTTTTCATGTTTACTAGCAGTATGATCTTCCTTTCTGTTTGTTACTGATCTTATAATGTTCCATGCTGTTTTCATTTTATTTGAAGAGTTGTTTATTTGCTTATTATACCAAGTCTTTTTAGCTTCAATGATTACTCTAGTTAATATTTTACAGTATTGTTTATAATGTCTCTTTAAAGTGACATCATTGCTATTCTTACATAGTAAATATAGCTGTCTTTTATGGTTACAGGAAGTTTTTATACCAATTGTTATCCACTGTCTATTGTTATTCCTTCTACTTACTTTTCGAAGGGGAAAGCTTGTGTGGACTATTCTTAAATAGTTATTCATGAATGTGTTAAATAAGACGTCTACATCATTGCCATTGTCATTAAATATACTGTCCCAGGATTCGTAACTCAGTCTATTTTTAAATTCCTCCACAGAATATTTATTTATGCTTCTAGTATAATATTCACTGTGATTATCTATTTGAGTGTCTATATCTTTTATAAATAACAATTGAGCATCATGGTCAGATAATCCGTTATATAAAGGGGAAACACTGTATTTTATAAATTTTTGCTTATCTATAAATATATTATCTATTGCTGTACTTGTGTGATTATGAACTCTGGTAGGGAAATTCACTGTTGCCCTTAGGTTATATGATAATAATAGAGCATCTAATTGCCTTCTCCTATCACTGACTATGAGATAGTCAGTGTTTATATCCCCACATATAACCAAATTCATTTCAGCTTTATAGATTGACTTAATAATGTTATCTAGTCCTTTAAGAAATGAAATAAAGTTGCCACATGGTGCTCTGTAAACTGTGATTATATATATGTTAACTGTGGATAGTTTTAGTTTTAGTGCACAAGCCTCGATCTCTTGTTCATTACAATGTTTGTTTACATCCAACGTTAGGTAATTGTAGTCTTTATGTACAAAAATACACACCCCTCCCTTGAGTAAAGATTTCCTGCAGTATGCAGCACCAAGTTTATAACCTTCAAGATTAATCTGTTCTAGTTCTAGTTGTTTAAGGTGATGTTCATCATCTGTGCAAGTACTTGCTCTCCTTAAGTTCCAAAATTTTCAGATCACACAATCCATTCTGAAGTCTGAATACAAATAAAAAGACTGAAGCTATAGGAAAACTTAGGAACTTAAAATTATAGGAAAATTGGTACCTCAAAATTTTCAATAGTTTCCATGTTCACCGGAATGTTTATTTTCCATATTCTCAAATTCTGATCATTTTCAATATAATTGAATATTTTGTATATTCGAATGGAGACTTCAAACTTCGGAAAATATCTTAATTCATACTATTTACAATTTGTGTTTTATAATATGAGAACTTCTTAAATATTGAAAAATTCGTAACTATTTTTCTCTAATATGTTATATTTTCAGAAGTAAATGCAGTCAAGCATAACTTTGGTGACTCATCCCACCCATGACACGCTGAATCGCCATGAGATTTCAGATTGATCTCTCCAGGGGCAAATAAATCAAAATTTGAATGTTGAGGAAATTAAGAGTAGATTAAATTAAAGGTAATGTTTGCTGCCATTCAGTTCAGAGCCTTTTGTTTTCTCGTCTGCTATATAATAATGTAAAGTTGAAAGATACACTTATATTGTTCAGCCTGTAGTTCTGTATGGGTATGACACTCCGTCTCTGACATTACAGGAGAAACGTGGACCAAGGGCACATGAAAACAGGAAGCTGACGAGAATACTGGACCAAAATAAAGAACTTCATAACTTGCACTCTTCATCAAATAGAATTAAATTTATCAAGTCAAGGAGGATGTGATAGACAGAGTACATAGTATGCGTGGAGGGGAATCGGTGTGCTTATAGGATTTTTGTGGGAAAGCTAGAATGAAGGAGACTGTGATGTTGGTGCAAGAATAATATTAAAAAGGATCTTAACGAAATAGGGGTGGCATGGACTCAGGGCAGGGACCAGTTGTATGCTCTTATGAACATGGTAATGAACCTTCAGGTTTCATAAAATTCTGGGAATTTTAAGTAGCCGAGGAACTCGTGGCCACGCAAGAAGCAGGCAGCAAGCACAGCCGCATGCAGCTACTCGAGAGCTTCACAGCATTTTATGCAACCCAGAGGTCCATCACTGTGTTCACAGGAGCCTTCCACTGGTCCCTATCCTGAGCCAGATCAATCCAATCCATACCATCCCATCCTATCTCTCTAAGATCTATTTTAATATTGTCCATCCACCTATGCCGTGGTCTTTCTCTCTCTCTTTTTTATTTATTTATTTTTTTAAATTTTTTGGAGTCCAGCTGGGTCCACTCGGCATGGCGGCCACTGATTGGCCTATTGTAGCCTGCCCCAGGCGATTATGATGATGGAGAATTTGGTGGAATGGAGATTGGAAGGGGAAACTGAAGTACTCAGATAAATCCTACCCCAGTGCCACTTTGTCCACCAAAAATCCCACTTGACCAGACCCGGGCTTGAACCGGGGCTGCCGCGGTGGGAAGCCAGCGACTAACCACTTGATCTATGGCTTGGCCTACGCCTTGGTCTTCCTAGTGGTCTATTTCCATCTGGCTTTCCCAGCAATATCCTATATGCATTACTCTTCTCCCCCATTCATGCTACATGCCCTGCTCACCTCATACTCCTTGACTTGCTTATTCTAATTATACTTGGAGAAGATGTACATAAGAAATTTTCAGACTGCTAAGCATTTTTCACATTGCATTCAGAGTAGAGGTGTATAAAGCTCAGAATGGTCTTATGGAGTGCTACAACTGCCAAACATTTGGCCACATCTGGACAAACTACAAGCAACCTCCCCACTGCTTTTGGCATGGGAGCGACCACCTGCAGAAGGAGTGTCTGGAGAAGAGGAACACGAAAACCGGCATGCTGAAACTCCAAGTTCATGGAAGGAGAGAAAGCTCATCCTTTCAGTTACTGGGGCTGCAGACATGCAATGGAGCAGATACATAAAAGGAGTTGCACAGGACACTCAAGACTACAGCAGGAAGGGTGTCCTTTTCTAACATCACCAGCCCAGGTCTGTCCTTTCAGGTATCACTCTGAAGAAACACAAGGCAACAGCACCGGCCACATCTACGTCAGGTTGCAGAGGCAGGTCCAGCCACAGTGGACCTGAGCGTTCCTATGCCTTCGCAGCAACATCAGCAACAGGATGCAAGTCAATCACATGTAAATCGATTGAAAGGTATCATACCATAAAGAAAAACACAGAAACTTCCATTGACGCTAGCAATGACATTTGTCTGACAGTAAATGCAGAGAAAACTATGTGTTTGTTGCTGTCTCGTCACCAGAATGCAGAGGAAAATAGTAAATTAAAAATAGCTAATAGATCCCTTGAAAATGTGGCACAGTTCAAATATTTGGGAACAACAGTGCCAAATCAAAACTTGATTCAGGAGAAAATTAAGAGGAGACTGAAGTGGGATAAGGCTTGCTACCACCCAGTCCAGTTGTTGAAAAACATAAAGATTAAAATATTCAAAATTACAATTTTGCCTGTTGCTCTGTATGGGCGTGAAACTTTGTCTCTCACATTAAGGAAAGAACATAGACTGAGGATATTTGAGAACAGGGTACTGAGAAGAATATATGGACTGAGGAGAGATGTAGTGATAGGAGGTTGGAGAAATGTGCATAATGAGGAGTTTTAGAACTTGTAATCAGAATGATAAAGTCAAGGGGGATGACATGGGCAGGGCATGTAGCATGCCTGGGGAAGAAGGGGACTGCATGTAGGATTTTGGTGGGAAAACCAGAAGGAAAGAGACCATTAGGAAGATCATGATGAGACAGGATTGTGTGTTATGGGCTGGATTGATCTGGCTCAGGATAGGAACCAGTGGAGAACTTCTGTAAACACCATAATCAACCTTTGGATTTTGTAAGATTTTGGCAAATTCTTGAGTGGCTGAGTGACTGACGGTTTCTCAAGGATTCAGCTCCACATACTTAAGTAAATCTTTGAATGCTACGTAGCATTTACAATTGCTATGCATCATTTCACTCCAACCATAATTATTTCTATCTGAACTGTATGTCTTGTATACCTAAGTAACATAAAAAATTGTAATAAAATAATGTGTGGTGGGATAGCATGACTACAGTTATCATAAACGCAGTCATCAGAATGAATTTACACCACATGCTACCTGTAATAACTCCTGCAGCATAAAAAACACCAGAGCCAAGTGGCATCCCAGACTACTGTTAGTGCAAGTGTTAATAGCATAAATGCTGAAAATAATGAAGTTCTATGTCAGATGTTGATGAGGATTCTGCAGAATTTTAATTAATTTTGGTACTTGTATGGTAAATGAAGTAAGATGTAAGCAGTCATGTTGAGCTACTTAAAGAGTATAATATCCATGCAATTTACAGTCCATGTGTTACATATTTTGTGAATATAGATATCATACCAAAAGTAATAGTCATAAGGATATGATAATAAAATATGATTTGAGAACAGAGAGACAATTTAATTGTAAATTGAAGAATGCCGTTTTCTGGGATGTGGCGCTGTGTAGATATTGTGTAAGCTGACATTTCGGAGGAACGTATCGCCTCCATCTTCAGGGTAGAAACCTCCTCATGCTGGTTTCTGCCCTGAAGATTGAGACAAAACGTCGGTTTACACAATACCTACATGGCACCACATCCCAGAAGACAGCATTCTTCATAGTCACAGCTGTGGAAACCTCAAATCTTACATAATTGTGAATTATTCATATACCAATGTGTTTAAAACTTTGGTAATTCCTCCTCAATTTGAGTGAGTTGTATGTTGCGTTGAGTCTGTGTAGCAGGTGGAGCCAGGTCACCTTTCTTTAACACATCTCTCATATCCATACAACGCAGATCTGTCATCAAGGTATGTTGCTTGTTTGCAATATCCTGGTCCAAACGAATCAGATGTTCTTCAAGATCATTGTATGTTGCCCTGTTTGGAACAGTACAAGAAGCCTTACAGCAAATCTTGTATCAAAATGGAAAATTTTCAATCTTAATTTCAGCGCCACCTCACTCTCTATCTGTGTCTCTGTGTATCCATCTGAAGTCAGTCACGGACATCAGAATGGGTGATGATGGCAGTTTCTGTGAAAACTTGGGAATAACAGCCACTAGAGAGCACCTTTCCTGTTTAATTCCATTATCAACATTTTCAGCACAGTTGTATTCTGTATAGCAAGAGATCTCTGGAAAATGCACAACTTTTGTGCAGCCATTTTTAGAAAGACACAAGTATGTTAATTATGATACATTTTGGCTTGATGGTAACTTATAAATTAGTAAATTTTGACATGTAGACTAATATTTGAGTGGTGAAATTTCATACTCACATTTACAGATTATGAAAAATTATACATATTTTTCTTCATCTGTTGCACTGATATGAGTAAAAATATATAACTCTTATGCAGTTCATTATAGACAAATAAGTTTCATATTATAAATGACACTTCAGGAAATAATTATAGAGCAATATAATTTTATAAATCTGTAAGTTTCTCTTGTTTTGATCCCACACATAAATGCAGAAAATCAACAGTATTTTTTTAAATGCTAGTTCTAAGTAGGCAGTATCATCCATATGGGAAACTTCAGAGTCCTGATGTTCAAAACGTTTACCTACCAAAATTATGTCTGCATTTATTGTTTCTACTGACTGTGCATCTGTTAATGAGAACTACAGTGTTTGGCTGCAAAACTTGATGAAGAGATGGTGGCTTTAAAGACAGTGCACTCCTTATGTAACAACTGAAGATGGAGAATGAATCAGTTCTCACTGCTCAAATCCTATATCTGGTTATCATGTTCCTAACATTGTCTAACAACAGGGTTATTAGTGAAATAATCCAATAATAAAAATCAGCATACAACTAGTACTAACTTCCCATCATCAATTTTCTTCCTGAGATCCTGTTGGGTCTGACGCAGCTGCAGTACCTCATCCCTCAATCCAAAGTGAGCTTCATCCTGAACCAGTTCTGCACCTGGACGATATAAACGATTTTCTAGCCGTGTCTCTGCCAACTTTGCTGAATTAGTCTTATCCATCAGGGCATGTTCCAGATCAGCTATTTCTTTTGACATCTTCTCCATTTCATTCATCATCTGCCAACATGTTAGAGTTCAGATTTTTTAAAACACACCACTGGTAACCATATATGTCAACTTATATTTCTGAGAAGTGTAATTTACATCAAACTTTCTGTCCCTCCCTGCCACTTGCCCTTAAATAAAATTAATGGTGACAAAGACCTCTTTCCTCCCCTTGGGCTACAGCTTTACCATAGTGGGTAGCTCTCCATCCCTTGATCACCTTGAGAGCTATGCTACTGGAGGCATAAGATCCTGCTTTTAAATAACAACAGTTGGCAGGACTGAATAGCATAGCAATTAGTAGTTCCAAGAAAACAGAACTCTTTGCTAGCCTCTAGCTGTTAGAAATATATGGATCTGTGAAATATATGTAAGATGACAGGATCAACAATGTGTGTGTGTGTGTGTGTGTCCAGACTCTGAAAGTAACTGTCATACACGTATCTCGTTTATGTCATCAGAAAGGAACACCCTGTAAGTTTTTTTTTCTATGCCCGGCCTACGTGCATGCATTGCCACATTTCTGCCACAATGTTAGGAATCACTTGGACAGAGTGGTGGCTGGGAGACAGATCAGCAACAGTGAATCAATCACTTGGCCTCCTAGGTTGCCAGATTTAACCCCACTGAATTTTTTCTTGTGGCGTTATGTGAAGAACATTGTCTACCACATTAAGATCAATGATCTGCAACACCTGAAAGCCCACATAAGGGATGCTGTGGCTATGGTAACACCAAACATGTTGGATCGTCTGGATATTGGTCGTGCCACCAAGGGAGCTCATGTTGAAATTTACTGAGAAAGTTATATACTCAGAAATAACGTTGATACTTTCCCTTTGTAGTGTTATAACCCATAAATGTGTAAAATAAAAGTTTCTGAGATATAATTATTTTATTTTGGATACCTTTCATCCGGACATCCTGCATATATATATATATATACAAGAACATGCAGTGTTGGTCCATAACATAATAGGGTTACCCAATCAAAAGAAATTGTAAGGAAGATCTGAGATGAAAAGTAGCATGTGGTCCTAGAGATTACGTGTTGGGCGTGAGGTTAACAACCTCATCTCAGAAAACAGTATATGCAGATGCATTCAAGCAGAATAGAACTTGTTGTTTCCATCCTTTTGATTTTAACCACAAAAGGAGGGAAAATTAAAATCTGGCTATGGTGAAAATGAAATGTACAAGGCAAATTGATTCACTTTAAAATGTATGTACAGACAGTGGTAAACACAAAGAGTGTTTTTAAAATTTTGGTTTAAATTAATATTCCCAGACTTTTAAATAATTCTGGAAAATTAAATCATTCAGAGTACACAATGTGAATGATTTGCCAGAGTTGCAAAATGCTCAGCATATCCGTTTTTCATGTTTTCAACATTTTTTAAATATTTACAAGCACCTTCCTTCAATGGTAAAAACGACTTTAACAATTTTTAATCCTTTCTTCAGCTTCCTTCAATTATTTCTCCATCTTTTTAGGGATTGAATATACACTTGATGTAATCATTACTAGAGCTGTCACTTTTCCCTTAAGGTATTTTGCAGCTAGATACAAGATACTAGCTTTTATTCCTAGCACATCAAATCCAACAGAAAGAACTATAAATGCAGTCTCAGCTACATCAGTCCTTTTGAACTTTTGAATGTGTACATCAAACTTGTACTAGTGTATGAATCTCCACTTGCCAATAACTGAAGTTTCGCAGCTAATCTTTATATTGCAGGTATTGCTTCTTTAAAGAAAGTGTTTTTCTTTTTAATTTTGGGACCAAACAAGTTTAATTAACAATCAGAGTCAACATAAATGTTTAATTTGCTCTGATTCTTGCACCTTAAGATCTCTCATTAAATCACTTCCACTGCGGTGGTTCCAGCTTTTAAAAATTGTGCTCATCCACCATATCTTTTTTTTTTGACATCTTTTTTTCCAAATAATTTACTTAAAGTATAGAACTGGCATTTGCTTTAAACAAGCTGGCAGGAGATATGGTGAACAGAACCGAACATTAAGAGATATGAATTCTTAATACAGTGCATAGGGCACAGAGAAAAAGACTAGCTTACCAAAAATATTCATCTGTTCACCTTAAAGAAAAGTTATAATGATAATCTTTTTTTTTTAATGCTAGTGGGGTGGGACTAAGTCCCTTGTACTGCAGCCACTTCTGGCCTATTGTACCAGCCCCAGATTGTAGGTGAGGATGATTGTGGAGCAATTGGTGGAATGAAGATTGGCAGGGGAAACCAAAGTACTCGGAGAAAACCTGCCACAGCCCCACTTTGTCCACCACAAATCCCACTTGACCAGACACGGGATCAAACCTGAGCTGCCGCAGTGGGAAGTCAGCAACTAACCACTTGAGCTATGGTGCGGCCTAATGATAATCTTACTACTTGGCATGTATTCAGTTTTTTCATTTCAAGGACAGTAAGAGGATTCAAATTGAAACTGGAGATATAATTCCTAGATTGATGCAGACATGGAGAGAATGATTTACTTATTGTTGGTATTGAGAGTGACTATCAAATGGACTATTTCCACATCCTAGGTTCTTTACCTGTATGGATATGTGGAAAATAAAGGACATGAATGAATATGAAGAGGACTGTCTCTGAAATGTGATAGTGTGTAGTTCACTGATGTTTCTGAGAATTGTACTGCCTTTGCCTTCAGGATCAAAGAGTAAATGAGGGAAAAATCTGGCAGCAAGCAGAGTGAATCATGTGTAGAAAACTAGAGTCTGATACAGGCTTGAAGGGAATTTGAGAGAATTAACGGGAGTGTCACCACTATCTTTAACACAGGCTATAACCAGACTACACACCATCACATCCCCCCCCCCAAGATATGGGTATTGTATTCTTCATTATAAAATAAAGCATAGTAATGGCTCTTCCAACATTTCTTTGTCCTTCTCAATCATATCTGTCCTCAGTCTATATTCCAGTGGTGCTCTGGATAGAGAAGAAAATGGTTTACACAAGCTAAAAGTGAAGCGATGGAAGCAAAACCCAAGGAATAGAAAAGAATGGGCATCCATCACAGAAGACAAAGCTCTTAGAAAACTGTAGAGCTGAGGAGGAAGTAAGCAAGAGGTCTTTTTTTTTTTCCCCAGAGGTAAAGTGAAGGTAAAGGGATGCCTGTAACAGTCTGTGAAGGCCCATAGGGTTGTCAGACATCGAGGCTCTCACATTTTCCCAGGATAGTCAATCAGCTCACGTGCCAGCTGCCCTTTACCCCCTATGAAGATTCATGGTACTCATTTCTGTTAGTGGCTGAGTCAACCCCAGGATCGCAGTGCAGCTGGAAGAATTAGGTAAATTGCAAAATATTCACCTCAATAGGACTCGAATCCACGAACATCTAGCTTGCAGCCCAGTACCTCAACCAACTACATTTTCACATGCCCCATTAAGATAAAGAACTGGAGAAATTAGTTTCACATTCATTTCTCTCTGCTGGTTGTCAAGTATCCAGCTAGATATAGTGACCATCCCTGTAAAGCAATTTAAAATGTTCTGCATCTTTATGTCAACACACTAATCAACCATGTACTCATGCCTTTTGGCGTTGCCACTGAAGCTCATTCTTCTGGCGCTGAGTCTCATAGATGCAGCGACGAAGACCATAGTCTGTAGCATCATGCTGAGCCTGAAGATCATTATGAGCTTTTTCTCTTGACCAATACATTGCCTCACGTAGTCTTCCAGAGGCAGCAAGTTCATTATCAGCTTTCAACTTCTTGTACTGGGAGTGCTCCAGCCAGGCCTCATGTGCGATGGAGCTTCAAATGCACATTACATGTCAGTATCAAAAAATTAATCATGGATTAACAAATGAGGTATGATCATGCCCTGTACAGAGTGTTAGAACATGTAAAGGGGTAAAAAAGCTAAAGGTGTCCCTGTAATAGGCCATGAAGGCCCATAGGAGTGTGAGAGGTCAAGGCTCCCACATCTTCTAGACAATCAGCTCACAGATTGCAATAAGGTTGTCAACCTTACAGGGCCCTCGCATAGGGGCAGATTATTATTCTGCAATTTTAAAATGGGTTGAAAAGATCCTGTTTCTTTTATGTCCATATTTACAAATATATTTTATTTTAAACCACAGTTCTTTGTGGTATCTGTGAGCAGAGCTCATCAGATTGAATCCAGGAGACTACAAATTCCAGGTGCTTGGATTAACAGTAATATTCATAGATTTGCATATTTAAACTAAATATTAATAAAATGGTGCCTGGCATTAGGCCTCAGACACCGTGATAATTTGAAGCTGTTCTATTAACCAGTTCACAGAGATCAGAAAAAATAGCTGTCCCTTTCAATAAACATTGTGTCATGAAGGCACAGAGGAATCATAAAGTTTTATATATTCTTGACCTTACCACTGCATAAATATGAATGGTGAGGTTCACTTCATGGCTGCATGGGCACAGACAAGTTCTGTCTGTGGTAGTAATGTGCCTCTATCAGGGAACTGAATCCCATTTCAGTCTCTAG